GAAATCCGGCGGCGCCAGCCACTCGGAGCTAATCCACAACCTCCGCAAAAATGGAATCATAAAGACAGATAAAGTATTTGAAGTGATGCTGGCTACAGACCGCTCCCACTATGCAAAGTGTAACCCTTATATGGATTCTCCACAATCAATAGGTTTCCAAGCAACAATCAGTGCTCCACATATGCATGCATATGCACTAGAACTTCTATTTGATCAATTGCATGAAGGAGCTAAAGCTCTTGATGTAGGATCTGGAAGTGGAATCCTTACTGCATGTTTTGCACGTATGGTTGGATGTAGTGGAAAAGCCATAGGAATTGATCACATTAAGGAATTAGTAGATGACTCCATAAATAATGTCAGAAAGGACGATCCAACACTTTTGTCTTCAGGGAGAGTACAGTTGGTTGTGGGAGATGGAAGAATGGGCTATCCTGAAGAAGCCCCTTATGACGCTATTCATGTAGGAGCTGCAGCTCCAGTTGTGCCTCAGGCCGGACGAGCTGTAAAAGCAACATCAGCTTGACCAGTCTATAATATTGCAGTGGATTGTTCATCTCGGTCCCTAAAGCTCTTTGAAAACCAACAGCATCACAGCTTGTTTTGGACTTTGTTACACTATTATTTTCAGCATGAAAATGTGTGGTTTTGTAGGGTTTTCTAATTCTTTAGAGAGGCACAGAACCAAATTGGTGGAGGAAGGATGTAAAGTATAAATTTCTATATGATTACTTTAACATGCCCACATTTTACTTTAAAATATTAAAAAGAAGGGGTTCTGCAAAATGGAAACATTAATTTTTGAATTGATTTTGAGGAGTGCTTTTTCTTTTCTTGGATATTTAATTCTTCCAGTATAAATTTACCGGGTCTTTTGTGCATCAGATAATACCACCATTTACAAGTTAAGACTCTTGGTATTTGGTTATCTATTAGATACTACTAAGAATATAGAGATGAGCTTTCTTTTTAAAGCTTTTGATGTGATGTCATAGAATAGCATGTTGTAGATACAATCAGCTGCTTTGTTACCTTAAAGGTAGGTATTTGTAAATATTGAAACTTAAGATGGCAGTTGATGTCCAATAAACACTCAGCTGTTCATATTGGACATAACTGACATAGTTCTTCCTTTCTCTAAAAATGATAGGAGACTTGTAGCTCACTATTATTTTTTGTTTCTAGTTTGCTGCTGATAATGTATATGAATCTAACATGCCGTATAAGCTGTGTGGTAGTTACTGCACAGTTTATGCAGTACTGCTTTGCCAAATAAAGTTAAAAGCAAAAAAAAAAAAATCCCAGCACGAGCTAGTGGATAATCGCAGCAAGCCCACATCTCGGGTTCCACTGAAGTTTGGGCTGATTTCTGGCTGTGAGACTGGAACCTGATTTGCACAGACTGCAACATTCCGCATGCCTCCTGCTAGCTTGAACTCTGTTCCGCCTCACTCTGACAGTGAGAGCTGCTACATGAAGCCATCCCATAACAGATTTGAGTTCTGAGCTCATTTTTCTCCTTTCCAAGATGGCTATTGGTCAATTTCACTCTCCTGGGGGACGTCTGAGCTTGAATAACTTACCAAGCATTGAAGTCTGCTGCATCCACTGTTCTGTTCTACTGGTGTGCTTCTCTGTGGAGGCCTCTGGAGACCATGTGTCTGCCACATGGTTTGACCTACCCCTCCCACACAGTGCATCAGGGCTCAGGGAGAAAGTCCTGCTTGCCATCTCCTTCTGAATTGGAGTCTCTCTTCTTTCCCTGTGGGCTTCATTTTTCACTTCAGGTCCTTCCTGGGTCCTGAGGACCCGCTTTCCTCCTCCTTTTCTTCCTCACCAAATCTTAGAGAGGCCGTTTCTGTGCTGTTGTGGTGGCAGGGGACAAATCCCAGTCCCCGTGCTTGCCTAAACAGACATTTAGTCTGCTGAGCTATCTCACCAGCCCGAAATTTATGATTTTAAAAAGCAAGGTATAGCTGAGCATAGTGTCACACACCTGTAGTCCCAGCTACCTGGAAGGCTGAGGCAGGAGGGTTGTATCACTCTGCCATCTTCCTGGCCATCTCTATTTTTAAATTTTGAGACAAGTTCTCACTAAGTTGCCCAGGCCAGACTTGAGCTTGCCGTCTTCCAGTCCCTTCCACACACTGCTGTTGTGCTTGCCAGTGTGATTGCACCACCACACCCAGCAGATATCATTGAGGTTTTTAATCATGCAGCCAAGCAGTATATTCTTAGCCTCCCACTAGCTTTGCTGCAGGTTATACCGCTGAAGTGTGGGTATTGATAACAGTTGATCAGCTTTAACATTTGCTTTTACTTAAACCACCAACTCTCCAGCGGGGCTTATGCAGACATGCAATAGGTGACTGACGTCCAAAGGCCAAACATAATGCCCACAGATCATGCCAATGCCACTATTTTTCTGAACATACATACTGTAAAGAGCTATGAACAGAGCTGGGGCTATAGCTCGATGGCACAGCACCTGCCTGGCAAGCACAAGGTCCTGAGTTTGATTCCTGGTACAGAGAGAGAGAGAGAGAGAGAGAGAGAGAGAGAGAGAGAGAGAGAGA